GGGGTGTCAGGGTGGCTGTGTTAGGGGGAGGGGCTGAGTGCGGAGGGGTTTGTGGGGTGTCAGGGTGGCCTGTGTTAGGGGGAGGGGCTGAGTGCGGAGGGTTTTGTGGGTGTCGGGGTGGGCTGTGTTAGGGGGAGGGGCTGAGTGCGGAGGGGTTTGTGGGGTGTCGGGGTGGGCTGTGTTAGGGGGAGGGGCTGAGTGCGGAGGGGTTTGTGGGGTGTCGGGGTGGGCTGTGTTAGGGGGAGGGGCTGAGTGCACACTGACCCTCGTTCGCTGTGTCCTCAGGAAGCCCTACAGAGCATCGCTGCTGATCCCGGGCTGTACCAGATGCTGCCCAGGTTCAGCACTTTCATATCAGAGGGGGTGAGTCCTGTGTGAGCTCCTCCCTACCTCCCTCTCCCCTGCCCCCCCCTCCCTGCCCCCTCCCTCCCTGCCCCCTCCCCCCTCCCCCCTGCTCCCTCCCCCCTACCCCCTGCCTCCCTGCTCCCTGCCTCCGTCCTCCCTGCCTCCCCGGCTCCCTGCTCCCCGCCTCCCTGCTCCCCGCCTCCCTGCTCCCCGCCTCCCTGCTCCCCGCCTCCCTGCCTCCCTTCACTGTCTCTCGCTGTGTCTCAGGTGCGTGTGAATGTGGTGCAGAATAACCTGGCGTTGCTGATCTACCTGATGCGGATGGTGAAGGCATTGATGGATAACCCCACACTCTACCTGGAGAAATACGTAAGTAATTCCCCTCCCTCCCCTGTGCCCAGCTTGGTCAGCTCGACACCACACCGCAGGACCTCTCCACTGTGTATCGTCTCCACACTCCACAGAGAGTTCCACCTACACACTCTCTCCCTGAGGGACGCCTCCTGCTTACACAATCTTACATAGAGAGTATTAGGCGCAGGTTGGCGAGAGCCAAGGCTTTGGGGGGAGCCCAGAGTGTGTGTTGAAGGGTAACTGTTGGGGTCTAACCAACTAAACCCACACACAGCTCAGCCATCGAGAGACAGAGAGAGAGAGAGAGCGCTGTGTGGCCGAGCTTTCCCGCTGCTTGTCCAGCGAGGACCCCCCTCCCCGTTAGTTAGTTGGGGCTTTGGCTGTGGGGTTACCAGGAGCTGAGGGGGAGGATTCCCTGCCCCCAGTGACTGGTCGGCCCTTCCAGTCCCTGCTGATGGGCCGGTCTGTGAGCTCTAGGCTCGGCTTGAGATCAATTTGAAGATCCTCGGTCTCGTTTTCAGATCCCTTCATGCCCTCGGCACCTCTGTATCCCTCCAACCTGCTTATCATCCAACTAACTGCCGGGCTGGGCTGGTGGGGGGGGCAGGGCTGTGGGTGGGGAGGGGTCGGGCTGTTGGTCGGGGCTGGGCTGGGGGTGGAGTTCGCTGGGGGTGGGGGGGTGCTGGGCTGGGGGTGGGGGGTGCTGGGCTGGGGGTGGGGGGCCTGGGCTGGGGTGGGGGGTGCTGGGCTGGGGGTGGGGGGGTGAGCTGTTCCCCAGTTCCAGCTCAGTGGCTGTCAGGTGGTGCTCAGTGGATCAGTGTGAGTGCGCGTGTGTGTGTGTGTGTGCAACTCGTGTGCCCGTGAGTGAGCTTCAGCCGAGGCCTGTGTATGGGTGGCTGTCTTGTCTTCTGTCTGTCTGTCTGCCTGTCTGGGGGGTGACGGAGCTGTTTAACCCCTCCCTCCCCAGCTACACGAGCTGATCCCCGCAGTGGTGACCTGTATTGTGAGTCGGCAGCTGTGCCTCAGGCCGGACGTGGACAATCACTGGGCACTGAGGGACTTCGCTGCCCGTCTGATGGCTCAGATCTGCAAGAACTTCAGCACCACCACCAACAACATCCAGTCCCGCATCACCAAGACCTTCACCAAGGTACACCCACCCCCCACTCCCCCGCCAGAGCGACCCCCACCCCCAGCGATCCCCACCCCCAGCGACCCCACCCCAGCGACCCCGACCCCAGCGACCCCCCCCAGCGACCCCCGCCCCAGCGACCCAGCGACCCCAACCCCAGCGACCCCCACCCAGCGACCCCAACCCAGCGATCCCAGCGACCAGCGACCCCTGCCCCCAGCGACCCCCCGCCCACAGCGAACGCCCCGGTGAGCCCCCCGCTCCCAGCGAGTCGCCCCTCGCCCCCATTTGTGGTGCTATGCCCCCCTTTCCTCTCTCTGCCCCTCTACTTGCTCCTCTCACTCTCTCTCCCTCCTCTTCACTCTCTCTCTCTCTCTCTCTCTCTCTCTCAGAGCTGGCTGGATGACAAGACTCCCTGGACAACACGTTATGGCTGCATCGCAGGACTGGCTGAGCTGGGACATGACGTAAGTGATGTGGACCTCCCTCCCACTCCTGACTCTCTCCTTTTCTCCATCCCTCTTCCTCTTCCCCATCTCTCCATGTATTACACCTGTTACACCCGTGTTAGTGTATCTGTGTGTTAATGTGTGTTAATCATAGAAGAATCATAGGATTATACAGCACAGAAAGAGGCCATTTGGCCCATCGTGTCTGTGCCGACTATTTGAAAAGAGTTTCCAAATCAACCCCACTCCCCCACACTCTCCCACAGCCCTGATCAACCCCACTTCCCCGCTCTCCCCCATAGCCCTGATCAGCCGCACTCCCCCACACTCTCCCCACAGCCCTGACCAACCCCACTCCCCCACACTCTCCCCACAGCCCTGATCAACCCCACTTCCCCGCTCTCCCCCATAGCCCTGATCAGCCCCACTCCCTCCCCATAGCCCTGATCAACCCCACTCCCACGCTCTCTCCCCATAGCCCTGCAAACTTTTCCTCCCTAAATAATTATCTGCTTCTCTCTTAAAAGCTGTTATCGAATCGGTTTCCACCAGCCTTTCAGGCAACGCATTCCATAAGAATATAAGAATTAGGAGCAGGAGTCGGCCATTCGGCCCCTCGAACTGCCCCGCCATTCGATAAGATCATGGATGATCTTCTGACCGAACTCTAATTACCTGCCCTATCCCCATATCCCCCAATCCCTCTGTTTTTTAAAAATCTCTCAGTCTCAGCCTTGAAGCTGTTCAAGGACTGACATCTACAGCCCTTCTGGGGAGTGAATTCCATACACTCACTGCCCTCTGAGTGAAGAAATGTTTCCTCAACTCTGTTCTAAAAGGCTGACCCTCAATTTTCAGGCTGTGACCCCGGTTATAGATTCTCCTATTGGGGGAAACAGACCCTCAGTGACTACTTTATCAGCCCTTTAAGGATCTTATATGTTTCAATAAGATCTCCCCTAATTCTTCTGTACTCTGGAGAATACAGCCCTCGTTTATTCAGCCTATCCTCATAGGTCAGTTCCCTCATCCCAGGAACTAACCGAGTGAATCTACGCTGCACCCCCTCGGTACCTCCTAGACCGAGACCACCTGTGAAGAGAACAGGTTATAGTAACTGTTAATTGCAGTCAATTCACATCATTTCAAAACAATATTTCTATTTAGTTGCCAGAAAGTAGATGCTGTGGAGTGTGATAATTCAAACATTTCATGTGAATTGCTGCTGTGAGCTGGATGTTTATTGTATACTCAGCTTTGGTATTACTGGTCGATTGTGGTAAATTGATCAAGCTAAATAACTGAAATATTTATTTTGAAATGCCTATCAGATTTCAAAAGGAAGAAGCTCACTACTCTGACTTAGTCCTCGCTGAGCCATTTTTTCCTCAATGCCACAAGTTTACTTGTCAGGAGTTTACTTGTTTACATAAAGAGGATAGGGAAACGCTAGTTACAGACTGTTTTGGAGGCATAGAATGGTCTGTGATGTGTTGCAGAACTCTGTAGAATGTCAGATATAGGTTTAAGGCAGGAGACATTGTGAATTCTGATTCCTACGTCCAAGACAGTAGCCATAACCAACTGTGAGGAGAACGGATTATAGTATCTGTTCTCTTCACAGTTGTGACTGAATGAACATCACCTCACATTTCATAACAATATTGATATTTTGTGCCAGAAAGTAGATTATCACTAGTGACAGAGGATTATTCCGGGTGATAGCGGTCTGACGAGAGATGTGCGGACCGTGCGAATGACATCTGGGGATATCATCTCAGGAATATAGTGGAATAAGAGATATAGTGACTTTTGAATCTTACTTCCGACTCCGACACCAGCTGTGAAGAGAAGAGATTTTGGTAACTGTTAAGTGCCGTCAATCAACATCACTTCACATTTCACGACACTGAGCCCTTTTCCCTCGATGTCACAAGTTGACTTGTCAGGAGTTTTCTTATTTATCAAAAGAGCACCTTCTCAGGAGTTTACTGTGATTTCCAAAAGAGGATATGGAAATGCTATTTGCACACGGTGTTTGGGGGCATAGAACAGTTTGTGATCTGTCACAGCACTCTGTGGAATGACAGATATCGGTTTAAAAGGTGGAAGGTATTGTGCATTCTGATTCCTGCGTCCAAGACCGTAACCATGAACAACTGTGAGGAGAACACATTATCGTATCTGTTCTCTTCCAGTTGTGACTGAATGAACATCACCTCACATTTCATAACAATATTGATATTTTGTGCCAGAAAGTAGATTATCACTCGTGACAGAGGATTATCCGCAGTGATAGAGGATTATCTCCGGTGATAGCGGTCTGACCAGAGATGTGAGGAGCGTGCGACTGACATCGGGGATATCATCTCAGGAATATTGTGGAATAAGAGATATTGTGACTTTTGATTCTTACCTCCTAGACCGACACCAGCTGTGAAGAGAACAGATTTTAGTAACTGTTAAGTGCCGTCAATCAACATCACTTCACATTTCACAACATATTTCGATTTAGTGTCAGAAAGTAGATTCTGTGGAGTGTGATAACTGAACTGTTTGAAAATGCAAACAATCATGAGAATTGCTGCTGTGAGCTGGACATTAATGGTCATCTCACATTTGGTATTATTGGTGGATTGTGGTAAATGGACCAAGCTAAATAACTGAAATGTTTATTTTGAAATGCCGATCAGATTTCAAAAGGTAGCGCACTGCTCCGAGTAAGTCCTCACTGAGCCCTTTTCCCTGGTTTACTTGTCATGAGTTTACTTATTTATCAAAAGAGCACCTCATCAGGAATTTACTGTATTTACCAAAAGAGGATAGGGAAATACTATTTACGAGGAGTGTTTTGGGGGCATAGAATGGTCTCTGATCTGTCGCAGAACTCTGTAGAGACCCAGATGTAGGTTTAAGGAGGAGATAATGTGAATTCTGATTCTTACCTCCAAGACCGTAACCATAACCAGCTGTGAAGAGAACAGATTATTGTAACTGTTGAGTGCAGTCAATCAACATTAATTACATTTCACAAGAATATTTCGATTTAGTGTCAGAAAGTAGATTCTGTGGAGTGTGATAACTGAATTGTTTGAAAATGCAAACAATCATGAGAATTGCTGCTGTGAGCTGGACGTTTATTGTAAACTGACATTTGGTATTTCTCCTCGATTGTGGTAAATTGATCAAGCTAAATAACTGAACTATTTATTTTGGAATGAATATGAGATTTCAAAAGGTAGCTCACTGCTCCGAATAATCCTCACTGAGCCCTTTTCCCTCGATGCCCAAGTTTACTTGTCAGGAGTTTACTTATTTATCAAAAGAGCACCTTTTCAGGAGTTTACTGTGTTTTCCAAAAGAGATATTGTGACTTTTGATTCTTACCTCCTAGACCGAGACCACCTGTGAAGAGAACAGGTTATAGTAACTGTTAATTGCAGTCAATTCACATCATTTCAAAACAATATTTCTATTTAGTTGCCAGAAAGTAGATGCTGTGGAGTGTGATAATTCAAACATTTCATGTGAATTGCTGCTGTGAGCTGGATGTTTATTGTATACTCAGCTTTGGTATTACTGGTCGATTGTGGTAAATTGATCAAGCTAAATAACTGAAATATTTATTTTGAAATGCCTATCAGATTTCAAAAGGAAGAAGCTCACTACTCTGACTTAGTCCTCGCTGAGCCATTTTTTCCTCAATGCCACAAGTTTACTTGTCAGGAGTTTACTTGTTTACATAAAGAGGATAGGGAAACGCTAGTTACAGACTGTTTTGGAGGCATAGAATGGTCTGTGATGTGTTGCAGAACTCTGTAGAATGTCAGATATAGGTTTAAGGCAGGAGACATTGTGAATTCTGATTCCTACGTCCAAGACCGTAACCATAACCAACTGTGAGGAGAACGGATTATAGTATCTGTTCTCTTCACAGTTGTGACTGAATGAACATCACCTCACATTTCATAACAATATTGATATTTTGTGCCAGAAAGTAGATTATCACTAGTGACAGAGGATTATTCCGGGTGATAGCGGTCTGACGAGAGATGTGCGGACCGTGCGAATGACATCTGGGGATATCATCTCAGGAATATAGTGGAATAAGAGATATAGTGACTTTTGAATCTTACTTCCGACTCCGACACCAGCTGTGAAGAGAAGAGATTTTGGTAACTGTTAAGTGCCGTCAATCAACATCACTTCACATTTCACGACACTGAGCCCTTTTCCCTCGATGTCACAAGTTGACTTGTCAGGAGTTTTCTTATTTATCAAAAGAGCACCTTCTCAGGAGTTTACTGTGATTTCCAAAAGAGGATATGGAAATGCTATTTGCACACGGTGTTTGGGGGCATAGAACAGTTTGTGATCTGTCACAGCACTCTGTGGAATGACAGATATCGGTTTAAAAGGTGGAAGGTATTGTGCATTCTGATTCCTGCGTCCAAGACCGTAACCATGAACAACTGTGAGGAGAACACATTATCGTATCTGTTCTCTTCCCAGTTGTGACTGAATGAACATCACCTCACATTTCATAACAATATTGATATTTTGTGCCAGAAAGTAGATTATCACTCGTGACAGAGGATTATCCGCAGTGATAGAGGATTATCTCCGGTGATAGCGGTCTGACCAGAGATGTGAGGAGCGTGCGACTGACATCGGGGATATCATCTCAGGAATATTGTGGAATAAGAGATATTGTGACTTTTGATTCTTACCTCCTAGACCGACACCAGCTGTGAAGAGAACAGATTTTAGTAACTGATTTATTTATTTATTTTGGAATGAATATGAGATTTCAAAAGGTAGCTCACTGCTCCGAATAATCCTCACTGAGCCCTTTTCCCTCGATGCCCAAGTTTACTTGTCAGGAGTTTACTTATTTATCAAAAGAGCACCTTTTCAGGAGTTTACTGTGTTTTCCAAAAGAGATATTGTGACTTTTGATTCTTACCTCCTAGACCGAGACCACCTGTGAAGAGAACAGATTATAGTAACTGTTAATTGCAGTCAATTCACATCATTTCAAAACAATATTTCTATTTAGTTGCCAGAAAGTAGATGCTGTGGAGTGTGATAATTCAAACATTTCATGTGAATTGCTGCTGTGAGCTGGATGTTTATTGTGTACTCAGCTTTGGTATTACTGGTCGATTGTGGTAAATTGATCAAGCTAAATAACTGAAATATTTATTTTGAAATGCCTTTCAGATTTCAAAAGGCAGCGCACTGCTCCGAGTAAGTCCTCACTGAGCCCTTTTCCCTGGTTTACTTGTCATGAGTTTACTTATTTATCAAAAGAGCACCTCATCAGAAATTTACTGTATTTACCAAAAGAGGATATGGAAATACTATTTACGAGGAGTGTTTTGGGGTCATAGAATGGTCTCTGATCTGTCGCAGAACTCTGTAGAGACCCAGATGTAGGTTTAAGGAGGAGATAATGTGAATTCTGATTCTTACCTCCAAGACCGTAACCATAACCAGCTGTGAAGAGAACAGATTATTGTAACTGTTGAGTGCAGTCAATCAACATTAATTACATTTCACAAGAATATTTCGATTTAGTGTCAGAAAGTAGATTCTGTGGAGTGTGATAAGAGAACAGATTATCATAAGTGCAAAGTGCACGGAATCAACATCATGTCACATGTCATAACAATATTTATGTTTCGTGTCAGAAAGTAGATTGTGTGAACTGTGATAACTGAATTATTTGAAAATGCAAATATTCAAAAAAATTGCTGCTGTGAACTGGACATTTATTGTAAATTAACATTTCGTATTTTTGTCAGTTGTGCTTAATCAACCGAGCTATATAACTGAAGTATTTATTGTATGGTTTCATTTTTCAGAGTTCGGAAAAGTTTAAGAATTTGTGTGGTTTTCCCTTCTACAATATGTACAAGAATATTGTGGCTCGGGCAGAAGCTAAAAGAGTGAATTCTTGCGAATTATAGATCATATTTATTCTATTTATCCTTCCTGTCCAACCTTCATAAGAAATGCATGTCACAAGACGATGAGGTTAATTGGTAAACTTGCACCAAAATCATAAAAGATGAAACTCTCCTGAGTATTAGATAATCTTCATACTTTAAAATGCCCAGAAACTACCCCTTTGAACAGCAGTATTTTCATACTTTATCATGTCTTGCAATAGCCCTTTTGCTTCTGTTCTACATTTCTCACTTTAAGTTTTGTTCTCCACTTCTACCAACACTTGGATCATAGTTTTGTTTTTTTTAGTGCATGTGTATGCTAGTTTGTGTGTTCAATCATAATATGTGTAGTTTCACTTTCACAACAGAAAGTTTACATATAAAGCGTGGTAAAAGTGAATTGTAGCATATTTTTGAAGAGTACGTATTTATCATATGGCTCTCCAAAACCAAGCTAACCACACACCTTTGCATTTTTTTTATGATGTCCTGTTTGTAATATTTCTTGATGAAATATGGCCAGTCGTGGAATTTGACCAAACGTGAGTGATAATTACTAACATGGGTGTTTTTGTTGAAGCACAGCTTGAAGTCAGGGATGTAAAGTTACTGGAAAAGTTTTGCATTTCTGATTAAGGGTAGGTATAAATATAGTAACTAAATTATTTAATAATAATAATAATCCTTGCATTTGATATAGCGCTTTTCACGTCTTCTAGGCGTCTCAAATATTTACTGTATATTGCACAAAAACAAGTTTAAATACTCGAGTTATGCAGATATATTTGCTGTCATACAAATTTACTTTACTTTTGCTATACAAATGCAATCTTGTTGTTGTTTACATTTCAGTTTCTCACGTTTGAGAAAATGAAATTGTTACTGGTACACAAAGCACATCCTCAGGAAGGAGCTGATGACTTCAAGTTTATAGCTTATGATAATTTGTCAATAAAGGTTGTGCCTCACTTTTGCTTTTGTTTAAAAAAGAAACTTCTCAATAGCCACTTTTGTGCAGAAAAAGGATTTCTCAATCGTTATAGGCCTGGTAGGGTGAAACCTTGGGCAAGTTTCCTTGCCCCACACACCTGATAATAATTGTTCAATAAAAAATAATAATAATTTGGTCACTCAATCCACGACTGTTTGTGGGACGCTGCTGTGCGCAATTGGCTGCCGCATTTCACCCACAAAATATACAGTCAATTCACTTTACAGTATATTCTGTGAAGTGCTTTGTGACGTCTAGAAGACATGAAAAGCGCTATGTCAAATGCAAGGATTATTTGTATTATTATTTATTTGAAAATGTTCAGCGTGGAAACAGGTCACTCAGCCCAACCAGTTGGTGCAGACATTTTCCATCGCAGTTTTCACTCAACCTTTGCAACCTCCTATACCCTTCTGTTCCCCTCTCCCTCTGGTTATCACAGAGCATGGTGTGTTTATTGCCTGGAATGAAAAGTCAGCTTTAAGGCAAGAGATATTGTGAATTCTGATTCTTACCTCCATAACCATAACCCAAACCACCTGCGAAGAGAACAGATAATTTAATTTTAACTCAAGTGCACTGAATTAATATCACTTCACATTTCACAACAATTTTGTGTGGATTCACCTTTCCTCAAGGTCCTATCACAGAGTTGCAATGTACTCCAACTTTTGTATTTGTATCAAATGTTACTGCCAGATCAGTCCAGATTTTACACAATAGTAATAACTTGACTATCCTTCTTCAATGTAATAATTAGTTTCTGGAATTGAAGATTATTAAAATGCCCCAGCTTGGCTAATCGCTTCTCATGCTCATTCCTCTATCACTGGAGTATGTAATACTGATGTGTGGAGTGCGTATGACACCTGGGGATATCATCTCAGCAATAGAGTGGAATAAGAGACATTGTGACTTTGGATTTTTACCTGCTAGACCAAGACCACCTGTGAAGAGAACAGATTATTGTATCTATTAAAAGCAGTCAAGTAACATCAACAACAATATCAACAATATTACATTTGTATAGCGCCTTTCACTTCGGGAGGACGTCCCAAGGCATTGGACAGACAGAGGTACGGACATCACTTCACATTTGATGTGAAGTTTGATAGTTTGGTTTAGAGTCAGAAAGTAGATTCTGTGGATTGTGACAACTGAATTGTTTGAAAAAGCAAACAATCATGAGAATTGTTGCTGCGAGCTGACATTTATTCAGTTTCCTGTGCCATTCTTCTATCAAGTTCCATTCTTCTGCTCAAGTTAGATAAGTCAATCGGTCCAGACGGGATGCATCCTTGGTTACTGAGGGAAGCAAGGGTGGAAATAGTGGAGCCTCTGGCCTCAATCTTTCAATCCTGCTTGGAAACGGGAGTGGTGCCAGAGGACTGAAGGGTTGCAAATGTTACTCCTCTGTACAAAAAGTGGGAGAAAGATAAACCTGGTAATTGCACACCAATCAGCCTTACATCAGTTTGGGGAAAACTTCTAGAGACGATAATCTGGGACAAAATTAATTTTCACTTAGAAAAATACAGATTAATGAAGGACAGCCAAAATGGATTTGTTAAAGTCAAATCATGTCTGACAAGTGTGATAGAGTGTTTTGATAAAATAACGGAGAGTGTGAATGAAGTTGATGTAGTACATATGGATTTTCAAAAGGCGTTTGATAAAGTGCCACATAATAGATTGGTTAGCAAAATTGAAGTCCACGGTATTAAAGGTTCAGTGACAGCAGGGATACAAAAGTGTCTGGGAGACAGAAAGCAGAGAGTAGTGGTGAACAGTTGGTATTCTGACGATATATATATAGTATACAGCGGTGTACCCCAGGGATCAGCATTAGGACCACTGCTCTTTTTAATCTATATAAATGACCTGGACCTGGGTATGGGGAGCACAGTATCCATGTTTGCAGATGATACAAGGCTAGGAAAAGTAATAAACGGTGAGGAGAATAGTAGCAGACTGCAGGAAGACCTAGACAGACTTGTGAAATGGGTAGACAAGTGGCAGATGAAATTTAATGAGAGAAATGCAAAGTGATGCATTTTGGAAGGAAGAATGCGGAGAGGCAATATAAGGCAACATAAGATATACCAATAATGAATTCTCTTTGCACAACGATTAAGGTGAGGAAGATTGTGAGTTCTTTTACGTACCTCCAACTAATCCAACTGTGAAGAGAACAGATTTGTATAAATATTAATTACACTAAATAAATATCATGCCACATTTCACAATTGTAATAACCCATGGCAGAAAGACATGCAAACTAGGGTAATAGTTCTGTGGAAATGAAACAGCAGGTTTAGCTGGACATTTACTTTATCGCCCCAATCATATTCTTGTTCAAGAATGATTGCCTGTATTCATTTCTTAATTGCGGCCCTTTTTGTTTAACTGTTGGCATTAAGAGAGTGGGAGAGTGGGATTGATTTGGAAAGCTCTTTTAAAAGAGCCAGTACAAACACAATGAGAAGAATAACCTCCTCTGTGCTGTATAATTCTATGATTCTATGACTTGTGTGGTATTCCCTTCTCCAATTTGTGTCAGAATTTTGTGTAGATTGAGGGTCAGACAGTGATTTAGACAGAACTATAGAACACATTTCTTTAAGGTCCTGTCACAGTGCCAGATGCACTCTTTGTAGAATGAAAAATGGTCATTTAAGGCAAGAGATATTGTAATTTTTTTTTGTTTACCTCCAAGATCGTAACCATCTGTGAAGGGAACAGATTATTGTGATGAAGACATGCACTGTCAGTATCACTACATATTTCACAACAATTGTAATAATTTGTTGCAGAAAGTCTGCAATGTGAGCTCTTATAATTAAGTTGTCTGGAAATGGAAAAATTCATAAGAACAGCTGGTGTGAGCTGGACATTTACTGTAACCCCGACCCCCCCCCCCCCCCCCCCCCCCGGCTGCCTCCCCCATCCATTGTCGAGTGGCTTTTCATCCTCTCTGCCCCCATCCTCTGGAACTCTATCCCACAGTCCCTCTTCCTTGCCCCCTCCCTTGTCTCCTTCAAGATCCTCCTCTTCGACTGAGCCTTCGGTCACCCTACCCTCCCTGCCCTCCATTCTTCCTGATTCCAACAACCAGTCAGGTGCGGATCCTTAACTGTCCAGCATCTTGGGACTTCCTCCTGGCGTGAAAGGCGCTGTGCAAATGTAATGTTTTGTTATAAAATAATTGCTTGTGTGCTTGGCTAATTTGGGAGCAAGCACCACTCAGATATATGATTATTGCAGTTTTTCACAGCTTAGTGAGTCAGGAATTAGAGGGCAGAAGTTGAAGTTTTTTACCAAAAAGTAAAAGGTTGGGAGAGCGTTTAATCCAGTAGGTATTTCAGACATAGAATGGCTAACCTAGAGGAGTTATGGAGTGGAAGCATATTAGGTTTTAAGAAATAATTATTGAGCATCTGAAAAAGGCAGAAAAAGGATATGGGACAAAGCAGCAGATGGAACTAATGAGGAAATCTTTCACAGGGCCTCAGCAGGCGTAATGGGCCAATTTTTTTCCCGTAAACATTGTAACAAGATTGTCACTTTCTGAATGATCATTGGTAGAAAGGTACCATTTCCGAGGTACAAAGGAGCCAGTGTGACTTTCCCCTGTACAGTTTGTTTAAGAATATTTTGCAGTTTGTGTAGGAGTGTTTTGTAGATTGTACAGCAGTCAAAAGTCAATTGTTGTTGAAAGAGTTATTACCATCAAAAGTATTTGTGAGCTGCATATCTACTGTAACATTCTAATAAATGTTTTCTTGTTGTTTTAGAATAATTACTCGTATTCAGTTGTTAATTGCGGCCCATTTTGTTCAACTATTAAAAATTACGGGAAATCCCAAAATGGTCATTTAAGGCAAGAGATATTGTAATATTTTTATGTTTACCTCCATGATCGTAATCATCTGTGAAGGGAACAGATTATTGTAATGAAGACATGCACTGTCAGTATCACTACATATTTCACAACAATTGTAATAATTTGTTGCAGAAAGTCTAGTATAGAGCTTTCCATGGGGAGAGCGCACCAGACACACTATGTAATTACTTGCATGATTATTCACTGCTCAGTGAGTCAGTATTTAGAGGACAGAGAATTTGTTTTTTGGTCAGCCGTGTGTCTGATACAAACATAAATCCATCACCATGCTTAAGAGAATTCCATGCATCTTATCTACACATGGAAATCGCAGAGATAGACTGTTGGAATGAAAAGTGCACTCTCTCTCTGGAGAGATGCATCCTGCTTACCTAACTCCGGAAAGCATAGGTGCAGGCTGGCAAGAGCCTCAGTTTGGGGAGCCCAGAGTGTGAGTTGGGGTAATTGCTGGAGTCTAACCAGCTAAAACCGCATAGCTTGACATTGATATCGCTGTCTGGCAAACTTTCCCGCTGCTTGTCCAGCTAGGACCACCCTACCCGTTGAGTAGGAGGATTCCCTGCCCCCAATCACTTATCTGACCTTCTGTCGATGAGCCAGGCTGGAGTACTGTGGACCGACCCGCCTGGCTCAGGAACCAGTCTACTGAGCTCATCACAGACGGCTGGCTCTAATCCGACATTCCTTTGCCAGTGAAGCTCCAAAGTAACCCCACTTATCTCCCCGCAAAGGAGGATAGTCACTGTTTGACTATCTTCTCCGCCAATACCTCTCTCCGAAAGCCACTGAAACCTTGGTCCATGCCTTTGACACCTCTCAACTGGACTATTCAAACACCCTTGTCGTTGGCCTCCCCTCCACTAACATCCATAAAATCCAGATTATACAAGATTCTGCCGCCGTGTTCTAACCCTCACCAAACTCCGCCCTCCGATTACCCTAGTCTTAGTACTGGCTGCCTGTCCCAGAGAGGATCGACTTCAAATCCCTCCACTCCTCTACACCCCCCTACCTCTCTGACCTCCTCTCTCCTCACAACAGTGCCTGTTGCCTTCGTTCCACCAGGTCTGGCCTCCTCCTCATCCCCCGAGTCCTCCGCTCCACCATCGGCGGCCGTGCCTTCAGCCACTACACCCTGAGGCTCTGGAACTCCCTTCCTCACTCCCTTCGCCTCTTCAGGTCTCAGCTGAAGACTTTTCGACCGCGCCTTTGGTCACCTTCCTCCCCCTTCCCCTGGCTCGGCCCCGGGATCCATTACTGTGAAGCGCTCTGAGACTCCATCCGGCGTGGAGGACGCTATACAAATCCAAGTTGTTGTTGTTGTAATTTGATCATTCGACATCCAATAAACGCGGGTTTGAACCCTCACTAGGTGAGTTGGAGAGTAGATACAAGGAACTCACTGTGAGCTTCCCGGTGGGCAACACATCGCACCATGAAATGAGTGAGAATATTGCTACAAGTTATTTAACAGATTGGTATAGAGAAGGTTAGGAGGTTTACAGAGGGGCCAACCAAAGTTGAAAGGATGCATATAAATTTTAAGAAAAAATTAGATAAAATCTGAAAAATATTTTCCCCCACAAAATATACAATCAATCCACTTTAACGTGTGTCCTGTGAAGTGCTTTGAGACATCATTGATGGGATAAGGAATTATATCAAATACAAAGATTAGCATTTTTTTTAAAAATCTGAAAATTTAGAGGGTTTAGGGGAAAGCAGGAGATGGGAATAAAGAGGTGGATCTTCCAGATTGATGGATTACATGGCCTCTTTCTGCTATTGTAAACATTGTAACAAGGTGTTCACTTTCTGAATTTAAAATTGTCGATGATCACTGGTGTCCGAGGTCGAAAGGAGCTGGTTCTGGCTAGGTTAAGAGCCTGTGTGGTTTCCCTTGTACAGTTTGTGCAAGAATATTTTGTAGATTGTGGCTCAAACAGAAGCTGAATGAGTGAATTTGAGGGAATTATAGATGACATTTTATCTAAGGTCCTGTCATGCCACAGATGATCTCTTTGTAGAATTAAAAAGTTATGTTTAAAGTAAGAGATATTGTGAATTCTGATTCTTACCTGATTCCTTTAAACCACCTATGAAGAGAACAGATTAATATAATTATTAAGTCCACCTCATCAATATCACTTCACATTTCATAATAAAAGTTATAACTTGTGTCAGAAAGTTCACTCACTTAACTCATTCACTTATTTTCAGCAAATATTCTTTGCTTCACTCTAATGTGCAGTGACTGTATTTTGTTGGCAAACCGTTTAGACATAGGTTATGATTTTCAAAGGGCAATTTCAGGATAGACTTCAGGAACTTTCTTTCCCCAGAAGGTTGCCAAGAAGGGTGGTCGAGGCCAAGATTCTGGACTCAGTTAAAAAAACACAGCACAATGTTGTGATGGAAAGACAGTGGATATTCTGGAACGATGAGATCAAATGACAGAGTTACCTGCTTCATCTGAACCAATCTAATGATGTTGTGAAATATTTATCGTATATATTCATTGCCAATTGTAGCCATTTTGTTCAACTACAATATTAAAGGGTACAAGGGAAAGTGGATATTAAACTAATGAGGGGGTATAGACCGGGGGGAGAAGGGAACTGTGCTCCCTGTTGCAGTACACTGCACACCTAAACCTTTTCACCAATGTCACAGCTTGAGTTTAGTTCCCATCTGAGCCCCAATGCGGAGAATCAGACACACAGGTATCCAGCATATGGGTAACCGATCTGTACTGTAGGCTGTCAGGTCCATTTTATGCCTTATTTCCCAGGCTAAACCTGTACACAATACCAAACAGCAGCACAATACCTCACCTCATCCCACCATCTCTCCAGAGCAACTCTCTCTCAGAGTTGAACCGAGGTTCAGAACGTATCAACGCTCTTGGAGAAAGAATAATCATTACCTCCAAGCGCTGTCGAGACCACAGCTACAAGCACGGACAATAAGAAGAGGCTTTGGGACTTCATCCTTGCAGTCAGTTGGTCAGTCCGAAGATGACTTTACATTGCTATGTGAGGTGGCTGCTATTTATAGGAGAAAGGAACCCTGTATGGATGCTTATCAGGGACTTTGGCTCCACAAATCTTGATTGTACAGATAATCATTACATCAGTCACGATGTGCTTGAGCACATGATAAGAATGATGATAAAAAATCAGAATATCAAGTGGTCCCTGGTTCAGTTTCTCAGGTCACTTGATGCTTGTTGGTCTGTGTCTTTAGAGACTGCCAAACTGTACTCAAAGAGGTTTTCAGATGCAAACTTCTCCAGGACTCAGACAGTGTGGTAAGACGAAATTCATGGTCCTAAATGTAACATAACTTATTATGTTTGGCGGGCCGGAACCTGAGAGGGAGAAGAGAAGTATAACAATCCAGATTCACAGGACTCTAAAAGTAGCAATTTCATAAAACTATGAACCCAGTCTCCAGCTGTCCCTCACAGAAGCCCAAACTGCATTCTATTCCCAGACCAACCTGGAGTAATCCAAACTTCTGTTCTGCACCACACATCACCTCATCCACACACCTCCTCAAGCTTCCTGGATTCTTAACACCAATGCCAAGTGTGAAAGGTTGTTGACTCCTTCATATTTAAAATAGACATTGTTCACTTGGCTGCATCCTCTTTCTCCCCCCCCCACTCCCACCCTGCCCCATCCCTCCCCAATGCATTCTACAACCTCCACATCTTCTATTACTGACCCCACCATTGCCCTCATTTCTCCCTTGACCTTCGCAACTATCATCACCCATATGAAACCCATCACTTGCTACCTTGACGCCCTCCTCACCAAACAGCAAGTCAACTCCCTCCTCTGCCCCTGCCTGCAGACACGGTTAGCTTGCCCCTTTTCTACAAAACACCAGGACGACCAGTAGCCTATACTGAAGAGGAACCATTGGCAGAAAACACATCTTATTTTATCCTCCCTTCACCTTGGAAGGGCAGGCCAATTTAGACCCCCAACCCCCCCCCCCCCCCTCCCCCAATACAGCCATGCCTGAGACCGACAAACTCAGCACGGACAGGTCGGTATTCAAGCTAGCTCCCGATCTGCATTTCTATCCTTTACACCATTAGGGCCAACACAGTCATTGTATTGAATTTCTGTTTGCTGAGACGAATTGTCTCTTGTCCCTCTTCCCCGTTACTTTCTGTCCAAGGAAATCTCCCCTTCCTGTCCAAGGTTCTCGAAAGAGTCGTCGCCTCCCAGCTGCGCTCTTTCCTCTCCACCCACTCATTTCTTGAACCTCTACAGTCGGGTTTCCGTGCTGCCCATAGCACGGAAACCACCCTGGTCAAGGTCACCAATGACATCTTGACCATCTGCGACCAGGGCTCCCTCTGCCTCCTCGTCCTCCTCAACCTATCGGCCACATTCGATACAGTTGACCATGCTATCCTCCTGCACCGCTTTTCCTCCCACCTCAACCTTCAAGGCCCTGTCCTTGAGTGGTTTAGGTCCTACCTCTCCCACCGCCTTTATTTTGTTTCCACTAATGGCTTTTCCTCCAGCCCCCGCACTGTCTTGTGTGGCGTCCCTCAGGGCTCTGTCCTCGGTCCCCTCCTCTTCACCCTTTATATGCCCCCCATGTGGTGACATCATCCGCAGACATGGGGTTCACTCCCACATGTGTGCGGATGATACCCAACTCTACCTTTCCTCCTCTACCCTCAACTCCACGACCCCCGATGTTCTGACAGCTGCCTGTCCGTCATCGAGTCCCGGACGAGAGACAACTTTCTTCACCTCAACGTGCGCAAAACTGAGGCCCTCCTGATTGGCTCGCGTCAGCGCCTCCGCACCTCAGGCGCTGACAGCATCAGCATCCAAGGCTTCACTCTCCACCTCTCAAAGCCATCAGGAACCTTGGCGTTCTGTTCGACCCTGAGCTGTCGTTTCTTCCCCACATTCGCGCCACAACTGGCACCGCCTTCCATCACCTCTAGAACATCGCCAGACTACGGCACTACTATCCCCCACTCACCTGCCCGTACCCTCCGTTCCTCTGGCTCCGGTCTGCTCCACATCCCCCGCCCCAACCGCCCTACCATCGGTGGCCGGGCTCTCAGCCCCGAGGCTCTGGAACTCCATCCCCCAGTGCCTTCGCCGCTTCCTCCCTTTCCTCCTTCAAGGCCGGTCTCAAGACCTTTTTCTTCAACCGTGCCTTCAGCTCCCCTCTCAACTCTCTACCCCCTCCTCACTCCCTCCCTTCCCTCTCCTCACCCTGACCCCCTGCTCGGGTCCCAACCCAACTGTCCAGCGCTTTCGGACGTCCTCCTGACGTGAAAGGCGCTCTATAAATGCAATCTTGCTGTTGTTGTACTTGTCCCTCTCTCTTCTCCTTTGCTTATAGCAATTGGCTGCTACATTTCGCCCACAAATATACAGTCAATTCACTTTACAGTCTATTCTGTGAAGGGTTTTGAGATGTCGAGAAGACGTGAAAAGCTCTATATCAAATGCAAGGATTATTATTATTATTATAGTTGTCCGTTGGCTCCACTATTGTAATTGGCGATCCACAGCATGAGGGTTAAAGGATATAATGTTCCCTAACAGGACTCTCATATCTAGCAAAGATATCACTCCAGATTCTTTCAGATTCTTTCATTTCATGGTTCCATGCTGTGCCAAAGGTAGCATAGAATATACGCCATGGCCAGTTAAAGGTGTCGCAGCTTCACTCAGTTGCTCACTCTCTCACCTGAGGCTCAGACGATTATGGGTTTAAAACCAATGTCAGAGACATTGACCTCTCAAAGGTTATAATATAATAATAAAAATATATTTTGCATTGAGCCTTATCACTTTGTCAAAATTGCTTCACAGGATTCACTATAAAGTGTGGCAGACAAATGAAACAGCCAATTTGCACACAGTTATGTCCCACAAACTTCCCAATGGAGTGAATTACCAATTTTATCTGGGATATTGTCGGCCACAACATTGGGAGAATGTTTTCTTTTTGAATCATGTTATTGGACGTTTAATGTCCAACTGAATGAGCAGATGGGAGCTTCAATTAACATCTCATTCAATATAGAACTCCCGTAGTATTGTATTGGAGTGTCATCCCAGAGTGTGATTTCAAAGTTCCGTTGTGGGCCTTGAACCAGCAACCTGACTTTAAGGCGAGTGTCCTACCAACAACAATACCTTAAATGTATATAGTGTCTTGGAGCATTTAGCTGAGCACTACCAACTGAGTCAGGCTTGAGATTGCGACAGTTAACCACTGCTAGAGTAAATGTCCCTGTACAAGTTATTTTCCAATGTTGGGCACGATTCTTCAAATGAGACCTCAATCTCAGCTCCCACCTGTGTCTGCTCAGGGTAGATGTTAATAATCCTACAGTGATGTCAGGAAAAAGAAGGAAATTTCTGCTTGTGTACTGACTGACAATCCTCCAGATGAATTACTCTTTCAGTATATATCAGACTTTTCTGTGTGTCATTTGGAGAAATATGATAGGGAAGAACAAGAAATAACAATCCTTGCATTTGTTATAGCATCTTATCACATCTTTAAGATGTCACACAATCTGCCAATCGACTAACAACCGGGTTCCAACTTACTGCCAGGTAAACAGAGGCGTGTGGATTCCCTGCCAGGAATCGAACCCAGTTGCTGAAACCCTCTTACACGCATTAATCACCTCAAGATTCGACTAAGGAAACTCGCTCCTTGTCGGCCTCCCCAACTCTTCCCTCCAGAAGCTGCAGATCATCCAGAACTCTGCAGAATGCATCATAACCTGCAGCAGGCTCCGTGACCCTATCACCCTCGCCCAGCTCCACTGGCTCCCCATCCCCGAGGATAGAATTCAAAATCCTTGTCCTCACTTTTAAGGTCCTCCACAGCCTTGCCCCGTCCTACTTCTCTAACCTGTTAACACCCTATCAACCTGCCCGCTCCTTCCGTTCAGTAGGCTTCGGCCTGCTCCATCTCTCCTGCCCAACCCGCGTTACCATGGGCAACCAGGCTTTCAGCCACCCTCCTACCAAGACCTTCCTCTTCGACCATGCCTTCAGCCACCCTCCTACCTTTCTGCCCTCCCTCATCTCAACCATGCCCCCACCCCCCCAGGCTCAGGTCCTGATCCCAAACTGTTCAGCACTTTGGGATGTCCTCCCAACGTGAAAGGTGCTTTACAAATGTAATTTGTTGTTGCTGCTGTGAGGGGAGTGTTGTAATCACTGAGATACAGGATTCCGCTAGGAGTAGAGAGTGAGAAACACAGTCCATTTGCTGAGTTGAATTGACAAGAGTGAGGTTAAGGAAGGTCACACATCTAGGGAGGGGCGAGTACATGATGGGATTGTAGGTGAGGATCTTGAAATTGATCCACTGGTTTATAGTCGGCTACGCCTGGTGGCTATAAAACAACTTTACACAGCGAGCTTCATGCAGGTAGCGTCTCGGAGTGTATAACAGTGCTAGAGTTTGACGCCGAACTGGGGAGAGGGGGAGGTGACCATAAGCCCAATTAAATAGTAAGGTCTTCAGGTGTGATCTGAGGACAGGTGAGGAGGCAAGGTGGAGGAATTGAGGAGAGAGTTCTATAGTTTCAGGGTCATAGTGCAAAGCACAACCACTGATGGAGATTGCAGTGTGAGGATACAGGAGGCGGAATTTTGAATTAGTTGGAATTGTGAATGTGGCGTGGGGAGCCTCACAATGAGGGCTTTGGAATAATCGAGGTGGGAGATAACGAATGGGTTGGTTGTGAAGAGGTGGGCAATGTGACGGAGCTGGAGGAGACATCCCACACGTTCCCAGCAATGCCTTGAACATCAGCTTGGACTATGTGAGTTCAAAGTTCCAATGTGGGGCTTGAACCCACATCCTTCTGACTCAGAGGCGTGAATCTGAGCCAGGTTGACATACAAGTATCTTATACCCTATTTCTCTCTTGCTGCTGTGATATTGAAAGTACAGAAGGTTGATGTGGTGCTGAAAGCATGGCTGCCAATGGT